ACACATTCCCCGAGGCTCTGTCTGTGTGTTCCAATGTCCACGCTTGATTTCTTCCCTAGTTCTGCCTGTGTTATGAGGGGCAGGGCCCTCTAAGCCCAGGATCATCGCGGCCCTGAGTGGGCCATTTTCTGTGAAGGGTGTCATTAAATTTGTTGATGGCTTTAGGAAGTCCAGGGGCTGGTGGAGGTGGTGGACACCTAGTTGGGCCTCGAGCACTCGAGCTGGACCTCTCGGGCTTGTCTCCACCTTCCGCCATGTCTGAGATCCCCCGCTCCAGCCCGCCCCATCTGAATGAAGGTCCTATACGTGGTCCAACCTCATTCCCGGACGAACAGTGGACACAGGAAGCCGTCATTGCCTGCCAGACAGGCCACCTCCCATGGCAGAGGCCCATGACCTTAACCGTGAATGCCCTGCAGCACTCCCACCCACACCCTGCCCAGGGCTCCAGCGACTCAAAGCTTGAGACCAGCCTGGGAGGCGGATGTGTGCAGGGCTGCCTAGCTGGGGACTTCCCCTGGTCGCTACTGCCCAGCCTCGTCCCGACAGGAAACCTGACAGGTCTGAGCCCTCCAGACACCCATTGTGTGGAGCCTGGTGGGCTCCGGTGTTTCCCCTGTCAGGACTCCATCCCTTCTCGCCTCCTCCTGTTCCTTGTCAAAGCTGGCTTTTAAGGGAAGTTCCAGGCTGTTGCCCCTCCTCCATCTCTGCATTAAGTCCTGCTCAATCTTAAGACCTTTGCTCTTTCCAGCCTGCCTGAGTTCAAATCCTGACTCCTAATGCAAGCGGTGTGACCTTAGGGAAATTACTTACCCTCTCTGTGCCCCCAATATTTTCTGTAAAATGAAGGTGGTGACCATCTGCCTCATATGTTAAATGAGATAATGTGCATAGATAATGCAGACAGTAAATCCTGAATACAGTTTATTGCTATTAAATCCAAACTTCACCCTCTGACAGCCTTTTCGAGGCCAAACTTGGAACCTTCCTATGTTAGAGGTCTTGGACTCTGTGGTCCCCTCCAGGCGTGAGCATCTCTCCTCCCTGAGTGGAGCCTTGTGTTAGATAATGTTCATTATTGCTGTTGTTTTCCTCCTGCACAAAAATGGCCCTTCTGGAAAGGTCAGGCCCTTTTGGTTTGCACGAAGCTGAAGAAATGGGTGATCTGACTTTACACTGGAGGAAACACTGTCCTGGATGGGCAATTTACGGCTTTTCAAGGGTAATTCTGACTATATGCTTTTTTTGCTCCTTCCTCAGTGACTGTAAACCTAACAGATGTGAGACTGCACTGGGCTGGTCCCCTCCCTGCATCTGACCCCTCCTGACCCAGCCCTGGCCTGGCCTCTGGTTTTCCTGGACTTCAGCCCAACAGGGTGTAATTCTCCCCCAGACCTCGATGCCGATGGGTCCTCTGCCTGCAGGGAAATTCTTTGGGTCCGTCCCCCTCTGGTCTTCTCCTGTGTCCTCATTGTTCAAACCTAACTGGTCGGGTGTGGTGGGGATGGGGGGTGTCTCTGTTGGGCGCTGAGGCTTCTTTAAAGAGGTGATGTTTGAGCTGGGTCCTGAGGGTTAAGGAGTTCACCAGGTGGGTGCAGAGGAAAAGCGTCATGGCAGCCATCTGGCCACATCAGGGCAGAGGCTGGAGACTTAGGGGGCTGAGAGCAGATAGATCAGGGTGCATGGAGTGGGCTGGCTGTTTTGTGACAGGGTTTGGTCCTTTTCGGTACTCTGGGAGTTCACCTTTGGGGGCTTTGGAGGGATGCTGAAGGTGGTGGTGGGGTCGGGTGGGATCTGATTTAGCTAGTCCCCAGCCCCCTGCCTGGTACTTGCTAAACAGGCATATTTCCAGGCCCCATCCAGACCCACCAAATCAAGAGTCTTGGAGGAACCCCAGAAATACGCATGTTTAATGAGCTGGGGCCATTTGGAGGCTGCGGGGCATGGAGGTAGGGGAGGTGGGAGCTCGGCCTATTCAGGAGACCCTCTGGAGGCAAAACTGAGGTGGGAGAACAAGACCACTGATGGGGACTACCTTCCCTGCAGGGCCCGGGGTTCACAGGTGGTCAGGGCCTGGCCCTTGAAGGGGTCTGTTGCAGGAAGTGGTCGGGGTGGGGTGGGGGACATTTTCAGGTGCCCCTCCTCCAGCCTAGGCAGTCTCCAGAAGGGGGGCTGCTTCTGTTTGAAGGGAGGAGGCCACAGGGGCAGCAGGAGGAGGTGGGTGGCTTGCTCCACAGAGGGATTGATTCCAGATGCTCTGCTGGGTGTGCAGGGAGCAGCCTTTGTCTGCCTGCCCATCCCAGGGGTCCTGGACCTCCTCTCCTACCTCCCACCCTGTCCCTTTCCTACTCAGTCCTCCAGCTGGTACCGTGGAGATGTTCAGCTTGGATGGTTGGCAATGCCCACCCCATCCGAAGGCCAGAAATGCAAAAGCTTCTTTCTCTTCATTAGCTGACCCTCCCTCCACAAGGCAGATAGGTTAGGGAGTCTGTAAGTTCTCCTTGTAGGCGGGGAAACTGAGGCACAGAGAACGACTTGAGAATCCCAAGCATAAACAGAGTCTATGCCAGACCTCTGGAACCCAACTGTGTTTACAGATGAGATGCTGAGGTCCTGGCTGCTTTCCCTTCCCTCTACACACACTCACCTAAATCTGCTAGTTGGGGGCCTCAGGCTAAGACCACTTGTCCCAGCCTTAATCAGCTTGATCACTTGATCAGTGTCTCGTCTCCTTCATGGAAGGCTAAGACCTGGCCAATCAGGAAGCTCCTGCTTTGGGGAGGAAACTGGGCCAGGTGAAGTCCAGGCCCTGGGAAGAGGATTCGTGTCCGCACCCTGAGCTGGACTTCCTGGGAGTCCTCCTCCCCCCAAAACTGGTGGGCCTGGCTTCGGAGGTTATTCTTTCTGGAAGTGCCAATGTGTGGGTAGGTGGCTGCGGGAGCCCCAGCTGAACGGGGAGGCTCTGAACTGGGTTCTTGTGTTCTGGAGGAGGCTCGCTAAGAGGGCCCACAGCTTGCCTCTGGATGGAGGAATTGGGTACTACTTTTCCCAGGGGCCTCTGCACTTGTAAAAGAGGCTCCTGGTGATGTCTGCTACTGAAAATGAGCTAGAGCAATGCTTAACCCAAAGGAGGCTAATGGGGTCCTTGCAGGCCCTGTGGTTTTCCATCTTCCCCAGGGATTGGCCAGAGCTCTGGGGAGAGGGGCCACGGGAGTTGATAGCTTCTGACAACCCAGACTGGGTTTGGAGGAGCAATACCCCTCCTGCCCTTCCCCCCTAGTCCTGGGAAGGCGCCTGGCTTCCAGCTGTGATCCAGGCTTCTGACCTGGGGGCCCTCCCCTCTGGCTGAGGGAGCAAGGGAGGGGGTCCCCTTTGTGAGGTGCAAAACCTGGTCTGGATTCTTGCCGACTGCCCCGCCCCCCTCCAGGGCCGCACCTTTTCAGCTGTGCTGGAGGAGGACATCCAGACTCCCTCAGGACCCACACGTGACTCTCCCACCAACACATCCTTAAGACTACTTGTCAGAGCCCTGGCTAAGACCCTTTGCCTCTGCCGCTGAGGCAAGTCAGACCTCCTGTCAGGGCCTCAGTTTCCCCTTCTGTACTTGAAGGGATGGAACTGAGGCAGGTGGTTGTCAGAATAATTTAAAAAATAAATGCCACTGCAGAGGCTGGCGGGTAGAGAGAGATACCGCAGCCAATGGCCAGGGTGGTCAGGGAAGGCTGGAGGAGGTGGGCTCTAGAGCAACAGACTTTGGCCAGGCAGAGAAAAGTCAGAAGGAGGCCAGTCTCTGCTGGGAGTAGAGTAAAGAGGAGTGAGAAGTCGGGGGGCGCGGGAGTGGAGGTGAGGTTGGGAGGTAGCTCGATTGCGGATAGATCGCTGGAGTCTCAAATACCAAAGAAGAGTCTCTGGACTTGGGACTTTTGGACTCTGGGAGCCATGGATGGTTCTTGAGCTGGGGGAGTGCGTGACTCGGAGAAAGCTTTCAGCAGGGTGCAGTAGAGGGAGCTGGCACCCTCCCTTCTCTAGCCTCGGTTTCCTCTCCCTACAGTGGGGTAGGGAGAGTTCTGCCCTGCCCGCAGTCCTGCTAGAACTGCTGTAAATACCCAGCGGGAGGGAGACCTCACAGCATCTGAGGTGTTTCATTGGGAGGAGGGTTTAGATCAAAGGGGCAAAAAGTTCTGATTTGGCGAAGACCCGAGGGATACATAGGTGTTCATTATGTTCTCTCTACTTGTTCTGTGCTTGAATATACACCCTAATTGTAAATATATAAAAGTAATATGCGTATCAAACGGGACGATTTTTAAGGAACAGGCGAGTATCCTGCGTGAAAGAGAAGTCTCTCTACCTGCCGGGGCGGGGGGGGGGGCAGG